ATATATATATATATATATATATATATATATATATATATATATATATATATATATAAAATACCTTGCTACATGTACTGTGTTAGGCTAACAGAGACTTGTCATTTGCGCTTACATATTGTTGCTCTTTTGTTAGTTTTGATTGCTTCTATTGTCCTCATTTGTAAGTCGCTTTGGATAAAAGCGTCTGCTCAATGATTAAATGTAAATGTTATTGATGATATCTTGGCACAGTTAAGGCGTAATTCACGCCTTTGTGATATTATGTCCTGTTTTTGCTGCTTTGACTTTACAAACCAGATTTTGGGAACTTTACAAACCAGATTTTGGGAACTTTACAAACCAGGATTTTGTACACATTTTGAAACGCGTAATGTTACTGCTAAATATTGTCTGGCACTCTTGAACAATACATGACTGTCTCATTATGGACCCAAGTAGACCGGAATGCCATCAGTAGGCATTCAAGTTGGATGTAGTATTGATTTGTGGGCCATAAAGTGAAAAAAAAACAGTGAATCTACTGTGTGTCGTCTAGTGACACTGTTGGTTCTGCTCTGTCAGACCGCAGCTTCCATACTGCTGCATCCACTAAATATGACCTTCTGTGTCTCCTACACCAGTGGTTCTCAGCATTTTTGACTCCAAGGCCCCCACAGTTTACACTTTTACACCTATATATTTACATGACTTTTCTAGTCTTTTTTTAATTACAGGGTTTTTTTTTATTATAATTTTATTTTATAGTTACAATTCAAGATCTTTTGTACTCACAAATAAATGTATATCTTGACATAACTAAAAATGACCATGGCCTTTTAGAATTTTATGAATTTCCATGACTTTTCCAGGTCTAGAAGTAACATTTTTCAAATTCCCATATATATCCAGGTTTTCAAAGACCATACAAATTCTAATTCTTAAATAAAAATGCCAGTCTTTCTTTTTGGAACTTCTTGGTTTAGAACCACTGTCTAAATACTATACTAAAATCTATACTTTGTTCTGCTTACCATGGTTTTATGTGAACTAAAAATAGACTGTGCACTAACTTATGTGATGTAATGAGGTAGTTTTATCCATCTTTGTCTCTTTTTCCATTATTTTCTGACAGGATGACATCTCTGTGGTAGGATGAGAAGTCCAGTACCGCGTTTCAGGGACGTCGAGAGGCAGGCCAGTGGCCTGCAGCCTGTACAGTGTCTTCCTCCCTGTCATGAGCGACAGAATATCATGTGGTTCATCAAAGATGCCTGCGGCATCGTTTGTGCGATCATCACCTGGCTTCTCGTCATCTTTGCTGAGTTTGTCGTGCTGTTCGTCATGCTGATTCCATCGAAGAACCTCACCTACAGCCTGGTGAATGGCACACTCTTCAACAGCCTGGCCTTCCTCGCCTTGGCATCTCATTTCAGAGCCATGTGCACTGACCCGGTGGGGTTTTACCTGTAATAATCAATGCTTTCATGGTGTCTGCTGGGTAGGGGAGAAGATTTCCCACATTATGAGGGTTTTCTACCAGTATATGAGAGGAATTCTATGTAATGCTTACTTATTATACTTACTATATCTCATATATATATACTTCACACAGCGCGTGTGACGTGTGAGGGCTCGCGCTCTTCAAAGACAATCACAGAATATGACCGAGCTCGTGCTTAAAAGCAAAACACACTGGAATGAATAATTCACTGAAAACGCAATGTGAGTCTCTGTTCTCTCTGCAATCTCTGATGTAATCAGCCTGGTTTCCTTTATATTAGCGCTGTTTTAATGCTGACGGATTGTTTGAATGCATTCGCTTCCTGGTTCATTGGACTGAAAACTTTCCTGGAGTTTAGCGGCTTAAAATGATCTAATCGCAAGCAGTAGCAAAATTGGGTTAAAGGGTTAGAATAGAAATTGTGCTTCAGTATTTTTGCGTTAATTGCATTAAATTATTTTAATGTGTTAAGGATTGTAAAATGAATCGCGTGCATTAATGCGTTAACGATGACACCTCTTATATATATATATATATTAGGGCTGCATGATAAATCGCATGCGATATTAAACGTGCATCTTGTCAGTAAAACCATTCTGTAATCAGCGGTAAATCTCCATCACGTGCAGGCTTTCACATGGAGCAGCATTAACTACACAGAGCCGTTGTTCACTGACAAGCTGCGCAAAATATGATCGTGGTTTTGCGCAGCTTGTCAGTGAACAGCTCTGTGTAGTTAATGCTGCTTCATCTGAAAGCCCGCACGTGATGGAGATTTACCGCTGATTAAAGAATCAACTTTACTGACAAGATGCGCGTTAAATATCGCATGCGATTTATCGTGCAGCCCTAATAAATAAATATATATTATAACTACTAATATTAACAACAATAATATTAGTTCAATATTCATTCATTCATTTTAAAGATTTTAAAGTATTATAATTGCCCCCTGAGCTCACAGCCAAGATCTTCACAAGATACAAGAAAATCTTGTATTTTAGCTACTAGCAACACCATTAATGTTAACTATAATCCAACAACCTAGATATAAAATAGACATTAATTTGAATTCTGTAGGTATCAAAAAAGAAAAATATTGGGCGTAAGTGTCATCACTGTAGCATGCTTGCAATTTAAGAAAAGTAGTGTAATTTTTTCCCCCTACTCTTCCCTAAATCTTCAGCAAGGTGTCATAAATGCTTCCCATACTGCTATTAAAATGTTGCTGAAGTTGCCTGATGCTTTCTTAGGGAGCCGTGCCAAAGGGCAACGCCACAAAGGAGTACATCGAGAGCTTGCAGCTGAAGCCAGGCCAGGTGGTTTACAAATGTCCCAAGTGCTGCAGTATTAAGCCGGATAGAGCTCACCACTGCAGGTGAGACAGGAGCATATGGAGACGTAGATGCGTAACTGTAGCAGCACTATTCATCATGGTTATATTACTGTCCATGTTTTTTTTCCTCCATTGAGATCATTTTAGATACTTTCTATTCTGTTCTATTTATTTATTACCATTTGCACAGCACATTCTTTACAACATAGTCATGTTCTGAGTTAGTGTGTATGTATATACAGGGGTTGCACAAAATAATGTGAACACCTAAGAAATAGGCAATATTTAATTATTATGTTTTTACCACCATTTGCCTTTAATACAACTTCCAACCTTCTTAGAATAGATTAATTCAACTTCTGAATAGTCTCCAATGGATTGTCATCATCTGCCAGTTGTTTCAGAGATGGTGAAGGAGGGAATCTGCGTCTCCAAAACTTCCCACAGTGGTTTGATAATATTCAAGTTGGGTGATTGAGCTGTCCAGGTTTTGTGATAAATGACAAATTTTTTCAGATTTTGGCATTTGTGTCTGTGATTAAAGATTTAGCCGTTGCAGCTCTTTCATGGATGCTGGTTTTGTGAAGTTCTCTGTAGTCTATTGAGGTTTGCTGTCACTTTGTGGGAGTTGTTCTGTGTTGTTTGGACAGGATCCTCCTTAGTGTTTGACAGTCTATTATTCACTTTCGGGTTCCGCACATTATTCTTCTTCGTTATGAAGTCTTCCCATGCTTTATGAATGCAGTCATGATCATAAAGACTGGAAAACTAAACAACACTATAAAACAACAAACAATTGGGCTGATAAATTTACAGAAGCTCCTGCTACACAGGCTCTTATGATTTGTTTACCATTTCAACCACGGCTTGAACTGAACACAATTTATACAACACTGATATGCATATGACAACTAAAAGATAATAGCAATGTTTTCATTGTAGCCTACACAAATTTTATTAACCCCTGTAATAATAAGTGTTGTTCACATTATTTTCTCCAACCCCTGTACATGAAGCTGAATATTTTTGAAAGCCTTATCTTTAAACCATTGTTTAGGTTAGTCTTTCAGTTGTTTGGAAGTGTTAAGGTGACTTTTCATCTCTTTCTTTCCACCACCCCTCTTTTCAAACTCACTTTAGTGTTTGTAAGCGTTGTATACGGAAGATGGATCATCATTGCCCTTGGGTAAACAATTGTGTCGGGGAAAATAACCAGAAGTACTTTGTGCTTTTCACAGTAAGTATTAAAACGGCTAATCATGCGCACTTCTAAAAATACCACAGACACTGTTGTGTTAGCCACATGTTGTAAGCATTGCATTTTAATGAAACTAGTCAGTGGCTTAGCGTCTGGTCTGCATATGGGCCCGGGCAGTTTGGGGGCCCGCCGAGCTGGGGGGACCTTTTAATTGAAACGAGGGAAAGAATAGGGCCCTGCATGGGCCCGGTGCTTGTCCAACAGCTTATGAGAATTCTCGGCCCGAGTCCGAATGAATACCATGATTTTTTCCCCTCTCTCTCTTCCCCATTACACGGCTATTAAAATAGTTCAATTTTGGTTTTTAATGGCAAAGTGGTCATATTTCTTTATAAAGTTAATTTAGAAATATGTTTGGAACATTTTATGTTTGTTAAATTCAAGTTTTTGTTTTTTTTAAAGGAATGACCAAGCGGCAGAGGCAGACAGTAAGTTGAGCATTATGTTTGATCAATTTAGCTTTCTCAAACCAACACGACTTGCCTAAAATAAACAGACATAAAACACTTCATGCATTTCACAGTATTAATTTAAACATTTAACGTAGATAAATGAGCGCTGTTAGGTGCATATCCAATCGTTTGTGCGGAGATTGGAAGCTAAAGCGCGCTTTGCAGGACATGGAAGTGCCAGTGCGATCACTTGCATTTTTTTTTTTAACAGTGGAAACTTAAAAATACGCCGTAATTTTTGCTCATAAAGTTAAGAGTATACATCATTCGGAACTGCAAATGGTCTACTTGTATTTGTGTGCACTCACAATATCAACAAAACCTTGTGCTTTTGTAAAGTAAGGAAAACAAACAGGATGCACTTTCTGTCGTCTTGGTTTTGAGCAGGAGGGATTATATATTCTATATATCTATAGAATGCTTTAAATTACTATTTTAAAACGAAATAATTCAAATCGAAAACAAAAGCTCTTTCGTTATGTAATCCATGCATTTCTCTCTAAAGGCACGTCCAATGAGGAGATGGCGAGTCAGGTTCATTCATTTTTGCAACATTGACTCAGAAAACATTAGTTTATTAACAAATAATTCAAATATCCCCTCACTATTTTTTAGTTTTTTTGTTTGTTTTTTATTTATTTTTTTGTTAGTTTTTTGGGCCGCTGTGCCAAAATTGTGTTTGCATTCAGTAGCCTATCTGTCGTCTTGGTCTTGAGCAGGAGGGATTATATATTCTATATATCTATAGAATGCTTTAAATTACTATTTTAAAACGAAATAATTCAAATCGAAAACAAAAGCTCTTTCGTTATGTAATCCATGCATTTCTCTCTAAAGGCACGTCCAATGAGGAGATGGCGAGTCAGGTTCATTCATTTTTGCAACATTGACTCAGAAAACATTAGTTTATTAACAAATAATTCAAATATCCCCTCACTATTTTTGACTTTTTTTGTTTGTTTTTTATTTTATTATTATTATTTTTTGTTTGTTTGTTTGTTTTTTGGGCTGATGTGCCAAAATTGTGTTTGCATTCAGTAGCCTATAAGGCAGCATTTTTGTGCCACGTTTAAAAATAACTAAATAAATAAGATTGACGTCAATATATTTTAATAATAAAGTCAAAATTACGATAATAAAATCATGTTATATTGCGTGAAGTTGATGTGAAAATTCCACCTATAGGCCTACTCCTCCAAAAAAAAAAAGTCTGTGGCATCCGTCATTCGTTTGACTTTTTTTAAAACTCTGATTGATCGATTCATGAGACATTCGTTTGTATTAAATTGTTCAGATTTATTTCAACATGCATTCAAATATTCACGTTTAGTTCGTGCTGCAAATATTAAAGAGGAAAATATAATTGATTCATATGCAGCTTGAACTGAGGCGAATTATCTCACTACAAATTAAAGAGCGTAAAAAGACGTTTATTGTTTGTATGTTATTGAGACTTTGTAGTAACAATGCACAAAGCTGCGATTATTGGGTGGCTTGCATGCTACAAATAATGAATGGACTTGAAAACTTTAAACATCATTTCCAAGCATTAGCCTAGACCAGTGATCCTCAAATCTGGCTCGTGAGATCGTGAGATCACTGGCCTAGACCATAAATAAAACAGCTTGTGAATAGTCACGATTCACGTAACGTTATTTACTTCAGAAAAATCAACAATAGGGCCTACGTTAAGTTAACCGAGTTGGAGCCCATAACGTTTCGGGGGGCCCGTACAATTTTTTTTGCAGATGGGCCCGGGGCTGACTCGCTATGCCACTGAAACTAGTTCTGGACTTGCTGAGAAAAGTTCAGTTACTTCCCTCTGAATTTGAAAGTATCATTAATATTAAATTGATTGTAATGTTTTCACTAGGGATTTAATTGTATGTTTTATTTCATTATGGTTATTTGAAACCAATATACACTAACAAACATCTAATGTTGGTGCTGGTGTTTTTCAGATGTACATTTCCCTGATCTCTCTGCATGCCTTGGTCATGGTGGTCTTTCATTTTCTCTACTGCTTTGAAGATGACTGGACAAGTAAGTAAGAAAAGCAACTTATTGTTAGCCAGATAGATAACTTGACCCCAGTGACCTCTAGATGTCAAGGTCAGATGGCAGGCATGCAATTTAGAACGTTATCTACTGGAAAAAGCATTCCAACCTTTGCAAATACAGATAAGTACTTCTTAAAGCGACCCGAAAATGTAAACTCTGTCATTTTCCTGAGCCTCGTTTCAAACATGTATTTCTTTCCAGTACATTGAATACACTGGCTATTTTTTCCATTTGATTACAATGTAACTATTGTATTCTCTAAAAAGCACGCTAAAGCACCATAAAAGTGTCATAAAAGTAGACCATTGTCTGTGCGCATGTGGAAGTTAATGTGTGTGGGAACAGAAAATTGCTGCTATACACTTTTTTTTTTATGATGGACAAACAGTATTATGTAAATGTAATATAATGCCCTTTTTATTAGTACAAAAAGTGGACGGGTAATGAAGGAGAAGCCGATTCAAACACACATTGTTCAGATGTGGGCCACAGCTCGAGCTGTTGGAGGACATTCTTATCTCCCTACCACAGCTCCAGTGATAATTTTATATAAAATTGTATTCAGCTTTGCATAAGTTTTTCAACCTGTGTTTGCGGCTGGCAATATATTCAAAGTGTAGGTTATTTAGAAGAGAAAAGCCTGTGTTGGAATGAATTTCATCATCACAACCATTCAAAAGTTTGGGGCTAGTAAGATTTGTTTAAAGAAAGGAGTTTATAGTTTTAGTCATAAACAAAAATCAAAATGCTTTAACTTACCCTCAAGTTGTCCCAAACCTGTATGAGTTTCTTTCTTCTGTTGAACACAAAAGAAGATATTTGGAATAATGCTTATAACTAAACAGTTGATGGTAGCCATTGACTTCCATAGTATTTTGTTCCATACAATTGAAGTCAATGGCTACCGTCAACCGTTCGATTGTATTTTTGATCAAATAAATGCAATCTTGCTGATTATGAGACTTCTTTCGTAAATATGAAACAAATCTTACTGACCCCAAACATTTGAACAGTAGCATATAAATGTCAATCCCCCCAAAAAAAACAGTGTTACCAATGTTGTTTTCAAATAGGTCACTGGTATATTGCTAACCAAGCTTGGTGAAATTATCAAACCTCTTAACCCACGTGATGATGTGTTTCAACGCTTTCTAAGCTTGTTGTGTATCAGTTTGCACATACACATACAGATGTGTTGCCAGATATTCATACACACAAACCCTCTTTTTTATTTTTCTTTGTTACAAATAATTATACATAGACAAAATTAACCTTGGTTTTTATAGTTGTGTTGGTATATTGTATAGCTGTATGTGTTCCCTCTCCCCTCCTGACCCCAGAGTGCAGCACCTTCTCCCCTCCATCCACTATCATCCTCCTCATCCTCCTGTGCTTTGAGAGCCTCCTCTTCCTCATCTTCACCTCTGTGATGTTTGGAACCCAAATCCATTCCATCTGCACAGATGAGACGGTAAGAGATCGCTTCCTTTCAGCAGTGGGCGAACGTGGTGGAGGTAGTGCTTGTGATGTGATATGTGGTCTGATATTGTTATTTTTAGGTTTATGCATGTGGACAGTTTAACCAAAAAATGCTATCGTGCTTGAAGTGAAATGTAACACATATGCAACAAGTATAACTAGGTCACTGTCTATCAAATAATAATAGCATACATCCATTCTTTTTGTTTTGCCACATACCGTACCTTGTAACTTATAATTAAAATATGCTGTAAATTGGTGACACTTGACATATGAGTCCAAACTATCCAGTGCTTTGGTCAACTTATTGCATAAGACATGGTCTTGTGAACTTTTAACAGCTGACCTGGAAACACAATTCACTCGTATTCCTGTTCTATAGATGCAGCCAGAAATTTGTTCTGAGGAAGATGCCTTGCTATTCATCAGAGAATCCTGAAAAATTAGTTTCCTCAAAAATATTAAGCAGCTCAATAGTTTTCAATTGATAATAAGAAGAAATGCTTCTTGAGCACCAAGTCTGTTTATTAGAATGATTTCTAAAAGATCATGTGACACTGAAGATTGAGGTAACAGTCACAGGAATAAAGGACATTTTAATATATAAAAACTATAAACTAAAAAAAAAAAAATATTAAAATAGAAAACCATTTTTAAGTTGTAGTAATATTTCCACTATATTACTGTAGTTTTGATCAAATAAATGCAGCCTCAGTGAGCATAAGTCTTCTTTCAAGAACATTATAAAATCTTACTGACCCCAAACTTTTGAAGGTAGTGTATATTGTGTGTATGCAAATTTAAATTAGTTACATTTAAAAAAGTTATATACATATTATTATTATTATCATTATTATTAGTAGTAGTAGTAGTATTTTTTTTTTTTTATTATTATTATTATTATTATTATTATTTTTATTAAGTGTTTTAATTTTATATATACACTCTAAAAAATGCTGGGTTGTTTCAACCCAACTTTGGGTCAAATATGGACTAACCCAACCGTTGGGTTAAACTTTTACATTCAATTTTTAACCCAAAAGTTGGGTTAGTCCATATTTGACCCAAAGTTGGGTTGAAACAACCCAGCATTTTTTTTGTGTATTTTTAGAAAACCTTGGGTAAAATTATGATGAAAATAAGATGAATATTGCATGCAACACATCATCCCAAAATAAAATGCTCTCAGTTTTACATATTCTTCCAGTATGATGAATAAACCTGAACTAATATCACCTCTCTTTCTTGAATCCTTATTTGATTGGAATATTGAGAGTCAAGACATTTTTACATACACCTGGATTAAAAATCCTAAAAAAACTGTTATCTGTCAAATAACAGTTACAGTACCATGTTAGCACATTATATGTATACTGCACTGAATGGACTAAGCAGTATGCTAGTATTGTATTATGAGCATAAGCATAGTGACATGACTGTTCACTGTGAACACCACTATATAAACTGATTTAAAATAAACATTTGGATGAAGTTCTTTGTTTTATGAAATGGGTCAGTTGTTCTTTTCCTCTTCTGTTTTGTAATATTCACACACTCTGAAGTCTCGGTTATCTCTTGTTTTTAGGGCATAGAGCAGTTGAAAAAGGAAGAGAGAAGATGGGCTAAAAAAACAAAATGGATGAACATGAAGGCGGTATTCGGACACCCCTTCTCGATAGCATGGTTAAGCCCGTTTTCCACACCTGACCACGGGAAGGCTGACCCCTACCAGTATGTGGTCTGAGCTCAGGAAGCTTTAAGCTAGAGACTCGAGTGCACTTGGACTGCCTTTATAAACAGCATCTTTTAATTTGTTTGTAATCCTGACTCAAACGGAGCATTTACCAGTGAGACTAAATCACCTTCATCTTCTTTTTTTTCAGGGAACAAATCATTGCATATCCAATTATCCTTGCCTCTATTTATTTTAATTCAGAACAGAAAAGGAATGCTTTACCATGTCATAATCTCAAGCATCTCTGCCTAGCTACACCGAAATGAAGATGAATGTTGCGCAGATAATAGAAGCCAATTTATGCTAATATAACCGCTATTGTAATCTTGCCAGACTGTCCACAATGATAACCTACTTTCTGAAGGTACTTTTAAACAATCAGTTGTTATTTTATTTTATTTTTTATACCTAGCTACAGTATAAGAGCACTGACAACCATTCAATTAAATGGTTTATTATGCTGACAAAAAAACGTTTAAGGGCAGTTTTTACCAAGGATGATAACTGTAATGATAACTAAAAATCATTATGGGAGAATAGTGAAGTCCACACTAACATCTACTTTCTAACATTAACGACACTGAGGAACAATGTCATTGAAATCAATCTCAGAAAAAAAAAGTATAAGAGCACTGACAACCATTCAATTAAATGGTTTATTATGCTGACAAAAAAACGTTTAAGGGCAGTTTTTACCAAGGATGATAACTGTAATAACTAAAAATCATTATGGGAGAATAGTGAAGTCCACACTAACATCTACTTTCTAACATTAACGACACTGAGGAACAATGTCATTGAAATCAATCTCAGAAAAAAATTTTTCCAGCTCATGAATTATTAAAAACAGTGGCAGCCAATCAGAATGCTCGAGCATTTATAAGCACTGCTGTTAAGGACATATAGTTATAGTTATCCTTATATTTATCATTCTTGGTGTAAACGAGCTTTAACATTTTTGACACTGGCAGTATACAAAATATAAAAAGTATATAAACAATATAGGAAGTTTAACAGGGGTGTAAATATGTTCTGACAAAGCTTGGATTCAAGTGATTCTATACTAAATGATGCAGTCGTGACATTTGATCATAAATTGCTTTGATTATTTTTTTAAATGGTAATAAACAGAAATGTAATTAAAGAGACAGTAATGGCAAATATTGATAAAGCGGTACACTATTTTTTACATTCACAACTATTATAGAACAGAATTTATCTATTATTAACTTCCATAATCAGTGCATTGTCAGCTCATTTCTACACCCCTGATTCTTAACATTGAAAATAAATCCATTTAAATGATAATTACTTTATAAATGTAAAGAATGTGTTTTGAGATATTATGAGTACATTTGCTGTTACACATAAGATTTTGAGTGATAACAGTACTGATGTTACTCAGCTGCCCTATCAGATTTACTTCCTACACTCAATATACACTCTGTACTTTTTTTTAGAGCTGATTTACTTGGTATGTTTCCATAAACTTGGTTTGCAGAAATGTTTAAGAAAGGAACCGGCTTTAAAAAAACTGTGTTTTTGAAAACTTTATTGATTTACCATTGTTGCCATTGTTTTGGTTAATTGCATTTTACATTTTATTAATATACATTTTTGTTATGATGAACGGATGATATGTGCTTGAACTTTTAGGTGTGTATGAAACAGACAATCGTTCTGTTCTTCTTTGACAAATGGTAAATCATTAAAAACCGGAACACTCTGTCATTAGTGCTTTATGTGACAATGTGTCAAAGTGTCTGACAGTACATCTCCTAAATGCACAAACATATGTGAATCCAGTCTAATGACATGAAAATCAGCAGCTAAAATGCCATTCACATTGCAAAATCACTGTGTTGCAATCTCTCAAGAGGTCCAAATGTTTCCAAATTTGCTTGGCTCTTTGTCTTCCTGTCCACTTCCTGTCTGTCTTTGACACTAACCTAGTTTTCTCCTTTTTTTATTCTTTTGTGTTGTTTAATGAGTAGTTTCCTTGCTCAGTTTTTTGGGAGTTAAAATGAAAAAGCAACTAATTACAGTATATTTAGTATTAAATTAGGCTGATGTCCCTGTTTCATTGGTGTGAGATTGAGGTAAGCTTTGATTGCTACCGGTATAAAGACACATTTGTTCATTCGGCACAATGCATGCTATTTAAGATGGTCTGTTTTTCTTTTCCTTTGGAATGTGAAGGCATGCTGCATGCTCCATGTGTTTTTAATTTGTGCCGTAAAGTGAAAGTCGAACCATTTCTTCCAGTCGGGTTATTTCATATTAAAGATTAAACACCAGAAGCACACAGGTGCATGAGTAAAATGAATCGCCCCCCCCCATGCTTTATTTTTATTTTATTTTTTTAGAATGTTAACCTTTTGCTTTCCTTTTCAGTTCAATCAGTGGAATTTAAAGCCACAGTCCATATTTTTTTTTTGGTTAAAAATTATCCAAAATCAATATTTGAGCAAGTACATAACCAGCCAGTGTTCAAAACTATCGCCTTACTTTAGCCAGATTCACAACGGTTAGCTTATAATAATTTTTTCTAATTTGAGTGGTACGGGTAGGTTTTCACGGGAAATTCGAGCATGCTGCTCCGTCATTATGTCACGTTTGTAAACATAAAGAAGTTGTCCCGGCTACTAGGCTATCGCATGTGAGGATCCTGCAGGTGGCGGATCGTTTAAAGCCTTTTCTCACAGCAGCTAGAATAATTAAATGCCAAAAAATCATTTTGATGGCGGATTGTAATCCAGAAAGGATTATATGAAACACATGTGGCGGATCGTTTAAAGCCTTTTCTCACAGCAGCTAGAATAATTAAATGTATCATTTTGATGGGGGATTGCAATTCATAAAGGATTATGTGTTTATGAAACACATGTGAATGAAATTAATTTATATTCCAGTTTTAAATGTGCCTCTGATTACAAATGGCCTGGGATTACACAAGATTTGTATTTTAAAGACAACCAGTTCGAAGGGAGCATAGTTTGCTTTTTGGGTTAAAAGAATTTCTTAATATGAAATTCAAATGGTATAACAATTTTAGATTAGACTGTACAGAAATTGAAATCTACACACACACTATAGTCATAGTCACGCAATGCTAATGTTGTTAACATTAATAATCTGAGAATAAAGTATAACAATAATAATAATTTTCACGGTTTGATGTGATATGAGCTAATCGATCGCTAGATTAAATCACCATTGGTAGCACGATTAATTGTAATGCTTTTTTCCTCAGTTGGTCAGAACAAACGTAGCAGACTTGTTACTTGTGAAAATTCTTATTTGGGTCATATATTCCAAGACGTAGGCTAGAATCTGTGATTACTAAGTATAGGATTCACACCGGTGTGCTGACTGACCGTCACACACACTCCTCAAAACATTAGATTCATCCGCCGATGGAGCCGTGCCAGAGTACAACCCACGCAAGGAAAATAATTCTGCAGTAACTGCAATTCCAAATTTTCAAACAGAGATGGCGACAAAGGCAAAACTTACGGACTGCAGCTTTAAGTTCTTTTTTTGCCAATATGGATGTTGTTTTCCATCTATTTATGGAGTCTATTATTTCATATCTCTCAAGAATCACAGCGGTGTTGTTTTTCTTTTTTTCAGGGCATTGAAAAGTTGAAGCGTGAAGACCCTACATGGGAGAAGACTCCATCCTGGGAAGCTATGAAGTCAGCGTTCGGAGGTGCTCTTTATGTTGCCTGGTTGAGCCCTTTCACAGATCTCTCATGCCAGAAAGATACTTTGGATCCTGTTCCCATGTTCCCACAGGGTGAGATCATTGAGGAGGATGTGATTGAGATTCCTTTGGAGCCTCATTAGATCAAAAACCCTGACACTCAAATGGCACATTTCCTGCCTTGGACTTGCAAAGAGACTACTGTGGACATTTGAATATGGACTCGTTTTTTTTTTTTTTTTACCTATGCAAAATACATTTACGTACTACTGTAACAAAGTGCCTTAAAGCAGTATTTAAAACCAAAAATACAGCTAGCTCTTCTAAAGAGAAACTTATACTGTGCATAGAGAGATTGAGCTCCTGACAGTGTCACATAACATGTACTTCATAATGCCAGCTGTTCCTGGAGCAGTGATGTCTTTTAGTTTTGTGTATCTATATGTTTTACAAGACCTAGGATTTTAATAATACTGTTTTAAGTAGCTGTAAGTGAATCCTTTCCTATAGGACACTATAAAGATGCATCATTGCAGTTAAATAGTTGTGTACTGTATATGGTTGAAATGCCTTACTATATCACAAGATTTTTTTTTTTATCACCTGCCATTGAAACACTATGAAATGGATGCAAACCAATGAAAATACAAATTCAGGTGCAGAATCTGACAATATAAAACCATGGTGCTCATTTATAGACCCTTCGTGCCTTTTCCATAATTAGCAAAAAAATACACGTAAGATTTACTGTATCATCCCAGGATTTTACTGATATTTTATAATTTTGTTGTTTCTATGGCATTGGTCTTTCTTTTTATTGTATTTATGGCCTTTTTTAAAATTAATATTCTATAACTGTACATCTTTCCATTACTGGCTACATTATTGTTATTTGTTATGTTCTGGATTTTTTTTCCATTATCTGATGTTTCTAATGGCTGCACACTTTCGATTTAAGTTTCTTCAAATAAATGTGCTGGTTTTACAAGTCCATTGTTGTTTGAATAAAAGTGTATGGTTGCAGGTGGGCTATTATACACCCACATAGTGCCAGGTCAACTTTCAGATGTGATTTCTGAGTAGAATACATGATAATGTCCTGCTGTGCTCAATAGATGCTGCTTTTGTGGTTGAGTTTCCCTTTAAAATAGAGTCCAGGTCAGTGGTTTGACACACAATAGTCATTTAATAACCAAAAACATTTAAACACGATCAGTGTGTGCATCCTTTTGACTACATTGTTCTGTCTAGAGTGCTAGTTCAAGTTTTACTTTGGAAGACTTGGAATTGAAAAAGGATGTTTCAGAGAAAGTTGAGAGGTGAAACAATTTAATTTCAGAGCCACAGCTGCATTTGGTCAAATATCCAGCAAAGCGTGTATATGTCATAAACATATTTCAGGTCATTGTAATAAACAAGAGTGTAAACTGATTTATTAAAAACTTGTAAGTAACCCACAAGATTGAGGCAAGATATAGAGCAAGTCCATTGCATAACTATAGGCTCAGAGTCATACACATTTCAAGGCTTTGCATTGTGTAATTTTTCACATTATTAACAACAAAAGCAATCCTACGACAGAAAAAATATATACATTTAGCATAGATAATTCTATTATACAGCTGCATAATTCTTATTAGCTCTTTCACTTGACTGATTTCACTTCAAGCATTGGATAAGGAATTGTTGCTCCCAGTATTCTTCTGTCAATCATATTTCTTATCCAAATGTTCCTGTGGAGCCTGAGGAGTTGATCCATGCAAGACGTAAAGCCCTGTCAGGGTCAAAATGATACCAACCCACCACAGCGTGGCATGAGTTTCACCAAAGATCACATGTCCAAGAAAAGCCTGGAAAAAAAGACAATA